CATGCTAAACGTTTTTGTGTTATTATACGATAAAGTGCTTTAACAAGTACATAATGAAACATAGCTGGTGATGATAAATTTAAACAAACTTTCAAAACTTCATTATTATGTGGACTTAATCGAAGGCAAGCAAGAAAAAATTCAATCATTAATTCTAAATCAACATTAACTTTATCTTGACCACGTGGAAATGGTTTTAATGGATTAAATAAAATTTGTTTTAAATCACCCATTACGGATTGTACCATAACAAATAAAACATTATTTGAATCTCTCATATTAATATATGTTGCTGCTTTACATAATTTAACAAATGTAACAACAGCAGCTGATTCTAATCCACCAGTTGAATGTTGTTTACCTAACACATGAGTATGTAATTGACGTTTTACTCCATCAACAAAATTTCTTTTACGTAAATGTTCAGCTGAACAAGGACCACCTTTTTCTAATGCATAAACTAATTCTTCAAGAATTATTGGACATAAAACTAATAACATCATTTGTAATGGCCAAGCATATTGAGCTTTACGACGATTTCCTTCACCACCGATTGAATCAAGTAATTCAAATAATTTTTCACAATTATCTAAATAAATCATTGAATCAATTTTTGAATTAAATGTAACTTTTTATTGAAAATATTTCTTTACCACTTAATTCTGCATTTGGTCTTTTTTGTAAATCAGTAAATTCTTCTGGATATGTATCTAACCAATTCCAAATAGCCTAAAAAGAAATTTAGTTTGTTTTGTCTAATAAAAATTTTATTTTACTTTTTCAACACTTTTAACTAATTCTGTATGATGAGTTTTCTTAAGTAATTTCCATTTTTGTACTTCCTCTGTAAGATAAATATGAAATCATTTTAATCGAAAAAAAAAACTTTTTTTTTATGTTTACCATTAAGAAGTCTTGTTAATTTAAGCATATCAACATTCATATGTTGAATAAGATCAAGATCACCGGCTTCGCACGTTTCATCACCGGATGCAATTAAACATTCGAGCCTAAAATTTTAAAAACAAAGTATATAATAACAAAATCAAACAATTATGATGATTATTAGTAGAATTAATTTAGTAGCAAAATTTTAGTTGTGTTTTTTTTATTTATTTATTCTTTTACCTGTATAGAAACTAAAACTTTTCTAAATATGAATATAAATATAACTTTTAAGAAGAAAAAAATTATGTGAAGGTATACCTGGAAACTACTTTACTAAAGAGTATACTGAAATTATTCACACTTAATGCAAATAATACATTCGACGCTAATTGTCGAACATGCTGTACTGTTATTCCATCACCGGGTACATTTAATAACTAAATAGAAGATAATACAAAATCTATTATCGATTTAAATTCATTTTTTTCTTCTTCTTACTTTACAAACAACAGGTAATAATTTTTTAACATAAATTGCTTCATCCAAACGACTTGTACTTAAATCTTTTGTCTATAAATCAGAAAAAAAATAAATAAATAAAAATAATATTTCAATTTTTTATTTACAGTTGCTAAACATTGTTCAACAGCATCAAGTACAATTAAATATGATTCAGAAATATTTTTTTCATGATCGTAACCAATAAATCTCTATAAGAAAAATAAAAAATAAACGTTTTATGAAAAAATAAAATAGTTTACAGTCGTATCAATTGTTTTCAATATATCTGTTAAACCATTAATAACAAGTGAAAATTTAAATCGACTCAATGCAATAAGACATTCTTTATTTTGTTCTAAATTTAAACGCATTTGATTTGTTAATTCTCCACATTTAATTGGTAACTAAAATAATTTATAGAAAAATCCAAATTAAAAATTTCTATTTTTATTTTACTTGATCTTGAAATCGTTCAATTAATGCTGTAACCCATTCGACGGGCTTGGACGTCGACATATTTTTATTGAAAATAACAAAAAAAAAAACAAAAATCTATAATAAGAAATAAAACTCCTCCATAGGATTTACTCGAGAGAAAAAGAACTCTTGATATTTTACTTTGACGTCAATAATAAAAAGCGACATGATAATAATAGAGGTTTGATTTCAACCAATCAAAAACTATATAGGCTTATTTTTTTTCTTCTTCCTTATTATTTTTTATTCAAATGATGTCAAGCCGATTAGTTATTCTTCGTACACAATTAAATCGTTCTTTTAGTACGAGTCATTCATTATTTCAAACATCAAAATCTTCATCATCATTTGTTACTCCACTAATTCCTGTATTTGGTTTAGAAGGACGGTATGCATCAAAACAAAATTAACTCGAACAAATCGATAATGATTATCGAAGAAATTAGATCGTCTTTAATCCTGATATATCACGTGAACAACGTATGAATTAGATTTATCAAATATAACACGAGCAACAATAGAAATATTGATGGATAATCGACGAGAAAAAAAATAAACAAAATGTGTTAAAATTATGAATCGTTGAATGGCTGAAATATCATGTTATAAAAGCTAAACCATTAGATGATAAATCACGTAATGAAGTTAATTCCATATTAAAACAATTTAGTTATTGAAATCGGTGATCGATATATTGACAAGTAATGTTTACAAACATTGAATGAATTTTTGTTTACCCTTTAATATTTATTTATTTTTTCGAATAAATAATAAGCAAAAAGACTTTAAAAGCTTTCTGTCTATTTAATTGAGTATTTTATAATTGAATGTAAATTTTCAAGCTAATTTTTCTTTATAATTAAATTATACAGGTCTACTCTAATTTAATTTAATTATAATTTACACTATCTTATATTATCATGAAACTGAGTTCATAGAATTTGTACTCTTTATTTTTTTCTTGTAGATAAATATAGAATAGCTTTTCATGACTTTCATCGAAACGAAGACGTAGGAATAATATATGAGTTCATTGCGTGGGTGTGTTGGGTAGAAGTGAGAATTAAAAGAAGAGAAGTGACACATAACTACGTCAACTTGATGTAAATATTACAGTAAAATATTAAATATTCATAATAAAATATGTTAATTTGTGTATATTATTGTGCAAAAGAATCTTTTGGAAAAAAAAAATCTAAGGCATTACAGTTTGAAAAAATAATCAATAAATATGCATTGCAAATAAAGGCATTAGGTACTCTTATGGTAGATGTTTTGTTTTATTCTCATTGTTCTAATGATTGCTGGGGAGTTTCATATATCGTTGTGCGTGTGTTATACGAGAGTTAATTAATATAAAGATATTTGAATACATTCTATTTTTATAGATATGATAATCTTTGAACTTGATTGCTATTAATATTTTTATCCAAAATTAGATTTTAATGCAACAATAGTTGATGTGATTTTAAAATGATTATGTTTTCATAAAACGTTATTTAATGAAGCAAAATCTGAAAGAGTGTGAATGCAAATGATATTGTGCGTACGAATATGGTTGATATTTTCAGACAGAAACAGTGAATGAATCCGTAAAAATTTTAACGAGTTACTTTTGCTTTGATTACCATGGAACCATGCTTCCGTGAAGCACATAAATGAACAAAGATCAAACAATTTTTTTTCTAAATCTAATCGATAGAAATTGCTCTATTATTAAAATCGGATTTGTCAAATAAAAATAGAATCTGTCTAATTCCAGGAATTTTTTCTAAATCGAATAAATTATTTTGACCTTTGAAAAATATTTATAATTAAATTCTTTTATATAACATGTATATATATTTCCTAATCTCAATATTGTCATTATTATCGTAGTGCTACGTTCATATCGCATTTCGCAATTCAATGAAACTAGAATGCTATCTAGTTTATTGTTCTGATCATTATGTAAGAATGATTTTTTTCTTTTCATTATCAATAATTATATCTTTGCAATATAGTTACATAATTCAATATCCTCATGTTATGAATTAAAAGTTCTCTTATTTTGAAGTTAAGACTAAAAAAGATCTCAGAAGGAAATATCTAAATAAATTATTTCTAAATAACATCTATGAATATTTTATTTTTATTTATGTTTTCTGATTCGATCATCTAGTTATGTTGAATAAAAATTTGTTAATCTATACAAAATCTGATAATTCACATTTTATTGTAATACTTCTCAAATGATCAAAGAAGTATCTCATACTTGTTATTATGTTCTACGTAAAATAATCATTTTGAAACGAATAGATTGTTTTCGTAAAAATGTATTATGAAAAAAAAGTTAGTTTCAAACTACAGAAAGAATATTAGAAGAACTATTGAAAAGACATTATATAGTGAAAAAAAAGCGAAGAAATAAATGCAAAAATGTCATGTTAGCAAGTTTTCATAAGAATATCAATATTACCATATCCATTATTAGTAGCAATGATATCAGTTAAATTGTTATTGTCTATATCACCAACAGCAAGTGCAAATGGATGTGAATTAAATCCACTAGAGAATATTTGTTGATTCATAAAACTTCCATTACCATAACCGAAATATACGCCAATATTACTAGCCCCATAACTAGCAACAGCAATATCTAATCGAGTATCATTATTAAAATCAAGAATAACAACTGAATATGGTTGAGAATCAACACCAGTAGAATAAGTTATTTGATTTGAAAATGTACCAGTACCATTGCTAAGGAATATACTAATGGTATTAATTCCAGAATTTGCAGCGACAAAATCTAACCGATTATCATTATTTAAATCAGCAACACTAACTGAACATGGTTGAGAATCATCACCAGTTGAATATGTTATATCATAGAGAAAGGTACCATAACCTGATCCAAATATAACTTTAACATTGTTTGTAGCATTATTGGTGATGACAACATCTAATCGAGTGTCATTGTTAAAATCTCCAACAGCTATGGAAGTCACTTGAGACGAAAATCCAG